GTGGGAAGGATTGGCATGTGGTGTGGTGGTTTATTTGGTGGTTAAATTGTTAAAGTTGTGCCATGTGTGTTTTGTTAAGTAATGGATGTTTTGTGGCTGGTTTAGGGGACATAGTGGGGGCCTTGTTGGGTGGATGTTTTAAGGGGTAAATGGGTTGGTTTTGGCTTCTTGTTTTCGACCAACTTAAGGGTTATGAAGGGGGGTTTTGTTGGGTGTGTTTTAACATGGTCTTGAGGGGTGAATGAGGTATGGTTTTGGGGAAGATGGGTTCGGCCAAGATGAAAAGGAGAAGGGGGAGAATGGTTAAGGTTTGGGGTTGTTTTTGGATTGTAGGGATTGAGGAGGATCATGGGTTTAAGGGCCTTCAAAATGGATCATATAGCTTAAACATAGGTCCTCGGCTTCCCCCGGGAGTGTAGAGTATAGGGGGAACCATGATGAGGCTGAGCCCAGATATATCACTTTGGTTTCTTGAAGGGCGGTTGACCCTCTCTGCTATGCCATTGATTTCATCTCCAAAAATTAACAGCCCTTTCGTGGATTGGAAGACGTACTTCAGGTTCTGTTGTTCTGATGCTTACTTCCTGTTTCCATGTGTGATGATGATGATGATTATTGATTATGATAATGATTTCAACAACAACAACAACAACAACAATAATAATAATAATAATCTTCCGCTCTTTTCTCTTATACTTTTGTACACCTGTATCCTGAGGCTATGATGAAAATGGTCACTTTGTCGCTGACCCAATTGATTAGGATTGGGTCAACACATACTGTAATGTGGCGGGGCAGGCATGCCAACGAGCATCTCTGCAGCCATTGCATGTCGGAGCTCAGAACAATCATCCCCAGCACTCAAATGAATTGATAATGTCAAAGGGCATGCGCTATGCCAACCAAGTAATATTTTACTATTAAACTTCCCACTTTTCTTTAGAAAGTTAAACTTGGGACGGAGGGTGTATTATATTATTATTATTATTATTATTATTATTATTATTATTATTATTAACTTTCATTATTATTATTATTATTTCTATTAAAAATATTTATTCTGCTATGTTCTTTGCATAATATGGTTTCTGTTTCAGGCTCTTCTTTCTGGATGCTCAGCTGGAGGTCTTGCTGCCATATTACACTGTGATGAATTCCGCAATTTATTTCCACAAAACACTGAAGTGAAGTGCTTGAGTGACGCTGGGCTACTCATGAACGCGTAATAATTCTTCCCCTCCCCAAGTTCTTAAGAGGTTTATTCTGAGAGGGCCCACTACAAGCATCGATAATTTAAAAATACTAACTATTCGAATCGATGATACATTTCTTTATTTCGTCTGCCATGGAGAAACCTGTCCGTTGATGGCGTGGCAATCCAGGATTGCAGCCACACGGGTCGTCTTCTTAACCATGGATGACTTTTAAACACAGATCTGAGACTCAATCTGAGGATGGCATATTGAGATTGGTTCTGAAATTGCCCCGTAAGGAGTGTTTTACTCACATGTAGTACTAATCTCATGAGGCTGCAGA